AATATAGCTAGGATATACTTTAGATATGATGGAAGACTATTTTAAAAAATGGTCTTACATGGCAAGAAGAGGCACTTACCTGTTCTTCCACAAGGAAGAGGCAAAGAAACAGGTGCATAGCTACAAGTTGATGTGTATGATGATGGAGCAACACTGGAAAGCAACAGGAGAAAAAAGGAAACCTTGTAAGATATACAGACGACGGAAAAGAGTATACTAAAACTATTAGGGTACATAATACCTTGACTCCACGGTGCAGAATTGTTGTAATTAATGAAAGCATTATATAATATGGAAAACATAAAATAACCTAGCAAGTATTAAACATTTTAGTTATTGTACAGCTGAACAAAATTCTGATAAGCCAATGTTTTAATTCTTATGACAAATAACTCAATTACAAACTGCAGTCAAAATATAAACTGCAATTATACTGTGGTAAATACAGTATATTCTTCATTTAAAAGAAGAGTATTTCTTATCATATCGATAATCATATCCATCTAACTTGAAATGACTACATTGCCACCCTTTGAAAGCTATTTCTAATCTATTCCATTTTAAATGCCATCCAATATTCTTTAATAATATTAATATACCACCAAATTACTTTCTTTGTAGAACAAAGACAAGCACTTTAAGGCTTGCAAAGTAATTCTTAATGTTGTCCAATTAAGCTCAGCAATTTAACGCAATTACTAAATGTACTGACTTCTTTAAAAATTGTAGCAATTCAAGAAACTGTTCCACTGTCTTTTATAACATACATAAATAACCTGGTTTAAACCAAGTTGTTTGAGAAAGCTGTTTTTTGTTTTTGCTAGGTTTTTTTTTCTTGCATTTGTGTAGATATTCTTAAAGTCATAACCAAACTCAAGTTTGCACTCATCCCTAGCAGGCAGCCAACTCGATCATGAGCATTTATTTGCTCTTCTAAAACAAGATCACCTCTAAGTTCACATTACTAAAGCACTGCACATAAGGGTAGTTCCCATCACAGGCAGACTAACATCTATCTGGGTTGGGCAGTTTTCAGATTTGCCCTTGGCCTGGACAGGCCCTAGACTGACCATCCATGCTGACAAAAATAAAACTGTAAGTTTATTGTGAATTTATCCAGAGCTGGGAGGATTAAGAGATGATGCTTGGTCTTGGATTAGTACTTTCTATTTAGGAAGTAAGGACACTGACAGGATATATTTCCTTCCAGCCTTATATTGAATAAACAGGTAATGAAAACCAAAAACACTTGAGTGATAAGACTTACTGATGTGCTGTGATTAATCATTTTCAATACTGTAACACATTTTCCATTAACAAATTAAGATTATTAATTTACCCTTTTACGTTAATGTATTTTAATTGCTTTCTTTTCATTTTCTCAGTAACTAAGGCCTACGGCTACCATTCATTCTTCATGTTTTCATTTCCTCCATCCCATGTTCATTTAATTACTAATAATTTATTTTATTAGATACAAGGCTGTACCAGTATGATAAGCATGAAGGACTCAATAGTGAACAAATATAAATTTTTCAAATTTATAGTCCAGTAGAGACAGCCAACATACAAATATAAAATTTAAATAATGAATTTTCAATAGTGTTAAGTACTAAAATGCTATGAGAACCTCAAGAGGGAGATCTCATCAAGACAGGGATATTAGACTCTCGGCAATCAGGGGGCTGAGGCAGAAGGACTAATGCAAGTTTGAAGCCAGGCTAGGCTACACAGTGAGTTCTAGTCAAGCCTCAACTGCATAGTGAGACCCTGTCTCAAAACAAAAAACAAGAGAGGGATATTAGAAAAGGATTCCTAGAGGATGGGACCTCTTGATGTAACCCTGACATTTACAGGATAAATAGCCCTTACCCAAGGAAAAAGGGGGGAAAAGTAATTCCTGCAAAAGAACAGCACAAGCCGGGCATAGTGGTGCACTCCTGTAATCCTAGTATTCAGGAGGCTGAGGCAGGAGGACTGCCATGAGTTTGAGGCCAGTCTGGGCTACACAGTGAGTCCAAGGCCAGCCAAAAACTACATAGTGAGAGCCTGTCTGAACCATACACACACACACACAGCACAGAGGCCCTGTGGTACAAAGGAACATGTTGAGCACAAAGCACTTTTTAGAAAAATCCCTCCATGTGCCTGGAATGCACACAAACACACACACACACACACACACACACACACACAAACTACCTAATGTAGAATGAAACTGGAGAGAAAAGTGAAAACTCTATCTTATAGAGCCCAATAGGATCTATAATCACAAAAGAGACACAGGAACACACTTGGATTTGCATTTTGCAAAGATGATTCTTACTACAATATAGAAAGACAGAAATGGGGTACAGGCCTGTAATCCCAGCACTTAGGAGGCTTAGGCAGGAGGATCAATGAAAATTCAAGGCCAGCCTTGACTACATACTGAGACCTTGTTTCACAAAAAAGCAAAAGAAACAAAAAACTACAATGTGGAGTGTGATTTGAAGGGTGACCAACATGGTATTAGTTGGGAATGTTAAAGGAAGTAGAGATCATAAGTAAATTTTAAAAAGATTGCAGCATAGGGAAGTTGAATATCTTTTAGAAGTATCCAGATAAAAAGTCTACATTATCTGTTAGGTATGGGGAACATAATAGTTATTTATTGCTATATAAAAATTACCCACATACTTATCAGTTTACAAGAAATATTTATCTAATATTATCTGCGGATCAGGAATCGAGATGTGATTTAGTCACAGGGTTACAATAAAAGCGTTGGCCGGGGATGCAGTCACATCAAAACTTGATTGGGAAAGGATCTGATGTCAAGGCTGCTCTTGTGGCCAATGGCAGGCCTCATGTCATCACTGAGTGTGGGCTGGACACATCAGTTCTTTGCCATGTGAGCCATGGCTTACTCACAACACAGCAGCTTATTTCCCTCATTTCCCTTAGAGGCAAGGGAGGGAGAGGGACATAGAAATGGATCACAGGGAGGAAAACAAGGCAAGCAAAAAGTCACAATCTCTTTGTAACCCAATCTTCTCAACACATCTCAGCATTTCCATTACATTGCATTCATTAGAAGTGAGACACGAGGAGTAGGAAAAAGGGAAAGGGAGTCTGTCTCATTGCTGAGACAAAATATCTGACACCCAAAGTTGAAAGAGGAAAGGTCTATTTAGCTCACAGTTTGTAGGGGTTTCGGTTCATAGCTGGCCGGCTAGAAAGCAGAGGGGCATTGCAGAGGAGAAACAGCTTATTGCAGGCAGAAAGCAGTAGAAGCAACAAGAAGCAAGGGACAAAAGCAGCCCTCTTCCTGTCCCTGATACTTTATCCAGGATACATGCCCTTAGGGCAGGCAGCATTCATATCCTGGGTGAGGCACCTACTGAGAAGTATCCCAAGCCAAGCAGTGGATTAATTCAGTAATCACACACTCCACTCCAGATCCAGCCGCCTCTGAGAAACCCAACCTATGACCACATGAGGCTTTGGGGGGACATCTAGACACAAGCCACAACAGGATTTTTCACTAAATCAATGAATGTGTATTTATAAAATACCACTGTGTGCTAGGCACTACTCCAGATGATAGAATAAAGCAATGAACACTGATGAGTCCTTGACCTCATGTCATTTTCCTTGTAAGAGTTGAAGATGAACACTACACATATTACACTAATTTGGATAATCATAAAGGGTAGGGTGAAGTGAGGGGTTTACTTCTGTTATGGTATCAACATATGCTTTTTAGAGATCCACATAGTTTGAAGACTCAACATGTCTCCTAGACGCCTCCTATACTCTCCTACCTTTTGTCTTCCTTATAGCAATCATCAAAAGATGTTTAGTATTATGTCTAAGTATAGTTATGTAGGACAAAAATAATCTCCCAAAAGATATGCACGTCAACTCTCTAAACTTCCCTCATGGGAAAAGGTGTTTTTTAGAGGTATTAAAGACCTTAGAGAGACTACCTTGGATTATATAAGTGGCCCCTACTCAGCCTTGGGTAAAGAATCAGACAAGCATTGTCAACCAGTATCAGCACTTTCGAGCCAAATGACTGTCGGCAAGCGAATTAATCTTTCTGTGCCACCATTCCTTACCTAAAAGCTGGCAATGATGGCTCCCATGTAAAGTGGTTCTGATATAGAAAGTAAATGTAGTAACCGAATAGTTCACTTAGGATGGTGCCTGTCTCCATACATGTTATCGAGGGGGAAAAAATACTGGCTCTCCAAAGTGTGCAGTGATCTTCAGCAGATATTCTCACTTCTTAGGGCCTTCTCACACAATGAAAGGGTGCAGAAGACCTCATTACTGCCTGAATAAACCCCGTTTTGTGAACCTGTGAACCAAAGGCCACCTGAGGGGTTTATTATTCCAGGATTCCATGTCCTTCAGCCACCTACTCGTGATTCATATTTACAGCCAGGTGAGATCAGGCCGGAGTGACAGAGAAAAGCCCGCTAGGCCTTATAGCTGGCACACGTCGCTCTCTACGCGGGTCCTCAGTGGCAAGCAATACCTTCTCTCGGAGTCCCTGGGTTGCCCAGGCAACGACCTGCAGCCTCAAGAGCCAGCGAGCACGACGTCCCTGCGGACCCTGGCGCGCAGGCGCGTCCCGAAAGC